GGGTTAGGCTTGGACTTTACAATTTAAATTTTTACAGCACATAAATGGCTGAAAATTGCACATTTTCACCAAAGGAAAACCCCTAACATGCTCCTAACCATTTTAAATAATTCAAGCAAAAACTGACCAGAAATCGAATTAAAATAACTAAAATAGCTACAGTTCGAATTTGACTTTGAAATTTTTACAGCAGCAAGATAACATGAAGAAAAGCAACATACCCAAAAATTAGCAATTTTAGACAGGAACTCGATTTTATATGAATTTATTAAGAAACAGTCCAGAAATGGTTTTCGAGTTTTGACAAGGCTACAGGCCATATAAAAATCTCATATTTTAACCACAAGTACTACAACAGCAACATTATAACATATCCAAAAATCAGAATTTTTGGAGCAATACACGAATTATAGTGATTTTAGCAAAAACGGGCTGCAGCACAATTTTCAAAAATGCATAACTTACAATATACACAACGAAACGACACAAGGCCAAGGCCGTTGCGTCAAGGACATTCCTAAGTCCAAAATTCCACAGCACTTCCACAGAAAATAACACATTAACCTCAGTTCAACAATTTTTCAAAGTGACGGCAATCACTTTGATACCCAATAGCAATAATATATCCAAATTCACCGAATATAAATATCCAACACACATAATTAACTCGAGTATCATACGATCAGCAACAACACGACATATACGAGCAATTATTACATATTACGAAAATAATCGAGACGAGGTTCGAGCGCAAATACCGTTCCCGGGAAACGATCGAAAACAAATGAAACGATAGGGTCGAACGACTCACGGTTGCTGTCCGGAAAATGAACGGGTTCAAGTCATAACTGCAACGTCCGGCGACGCACGACAGACACCAGTCGACCATCCTTGACTCGTGGTTGGCTCGAACAAAGGCTGGCCATGACGAGTACCTGGGACCTCCCACTCGCCGTTCGTCGGGCCTGGAAAACTGACGACGGGCTGCTCGGAAGTTGGGCCAATCACGAGCGGATGGTGCGCACTCGCCAGGAGTTGCAGGTCACGGTGGTGCTGCTCGACCAAGGCTCATGAGAGGCCGATATCGCTCGTCGGGGAGGAAGGACAACCACGGCTGCGCGTGAAGAGAAGGGCTGCTGCTCCACGGCTGAGATTCTCGCTATCTGGTTGCTCGATCTATCAGGTGGTCGAAGGTCTGTGAGGACGGCGGTAATGGCGGCGTGAAGCTCGGAACTCGTCGGCTTCGTTTGATACTCCGACGGAACACGACGGGACTCGACGGTCACGCTCGACACTCCAACGGAACACGACGGGTCCCGACGGAGGGTGATGATGGTAACCGGATTTCTGCTGGAGGAAGATGACGGGCGGCAACTGCGGGAAACGCCGGAACTCGCGATTGGCAGGTGTCCTAAACCAGCAGTCTGAAACCTTGCGATGGCAGCGGAGGAGCAGCGGGAAGAAGATGATGACTGCTGCATCTGGATGGGACGGCTGCGAATTGATGGAGAGGAGGGATGATGATCGGCCCGGCGATGAATTGAGATGGTGCAGATGAAACGATGATGGTGACGATTGTTGATGAAAGCGCGGTGGTCGGAAGTTAGCGAGAGAAGGAGATAGCAGAAAAGAAAAAGACTGCGGGACTCGCTATCTCAAGATTAAGGGTTTAATCCCATTTTATAGCATCAGGGCTAAAAGAATTAGCTTGGTCAACTAGGTAAACTAAGGGAAAACTGGGCGGACCGGGTCGACTCGCGCGCGGGCTTCTTGGTTCGAAAATAATAAATAGCCAAGCTCGGAATAGACATAAAAAAATAAAGTCGGGAAAATTATTATATATATATATATATAACACATTTATTTTATTATTACTAATACACAAATAAACACATTAGGCACATTAGACAATTATTTAAATAATATGATAATAATAATAATAATAATAATAATAATAATAATAATAATAATAATAATAACAATAATCAAATAAGCATTTAAAGACAATTAGGCATTTAGCAATAAAATTTATAATAATAATAATAACAATAATCAATTAGGCGATTAAATATAATAATAGTAATATTCGAATAGCCAAATAATAATATTAATAACGAAGATAATAAACAATAATCTCAAATAATCCATAACCAAACGGATTATAGTCGGGTAACGCGATTAAACTGAATCGCCTATGACGAACATTTTAAAAATAAAACGATCGAGTACTCCGATCGCGACTAATAAATATAACCTTATAAATAATATTCGATAAATAGAATACTCCAAGAAATTATATAAATCGAACGGGGCGTTACAGCTTGACTTTAAGAGGTGGCAACAAAAGATGCATTTTTACCAGACCACTTTGGGTTTGGTAAAATACCTGAAGGACGACCCTCCGGTCATTTCTGAGAATGAGACCAATGCAGAACTACGCGTTGCGTACGATGCTTGAGGGCAAGGTGACTACCTTTGCCGTAACTATATCCTGAACGGGCTTAGTAACGAGTTGTACAATGTGTACAACTCTGTTGGTTCTGCCAAGGAGCTTTGGTCTGCCCTGGAGAATAAGTACAAGACCGAGGATGCCGGGGCGAAGAAATTCGTCGTCGGCAAATTTCTTGACTTCAAGATGGTTGACACGAAGACTGTCGTGTCACAAGTGCAAGAGTTCCAGCTGATCTTGCACGATATCCATTCTGAAGGGATGACTTTGAGCGAGTCATTCTAAGTAGCGGCTGTGATCGAGAAGCTACGCCAGGCTGGAAGGACTTCAAGAACTATCTCAAGCACAAGAGAAAGGAGATGAGTCTTGAAGATCTGATAGTTCGTCTTCGTATCGAGGAAGACAACCAGAAGTCATCAGAAAAAGTCCCGATGATGGAAGCTCGTGCCAACTTGCTGGAGCAAGGCAACTCGGGCAAGAGGAAGACCCAGAACAAGGGAAAGCAGCCAGCCAAGGTTTGGAAGTTTACCGGAACTTGTTACAATTGTGGAAAACCAAACCATGTGGCTAAAGACTGCAAGAGGCCAAAGAAAGCTGGTCCAAATAAAGGGCAACCGAGTGCCCTTGTTGCTGAACACGATCTTGTGCCGGGTGAATTGACCGACTTTGATATGTCGGCTGTGGTGGTTGAAGCCAATTTGGTGGATAACCCAAGGGAGTGGTACATTGATACTGGTGCTACTCGTCATGTGTGTTCCGACAAGGAGGTGTTCTCTGAATACACTCCTGCTGCGGGTGGAAACTTCACATGGGAAACTTATCCACGTCTGATGTGGCTGGAGTGGGCACGGTGGTGCTGAAGCTCACTTCTGGAAGGGAGTTGAAGCTGAAGGATGTTCTGCATGTCCCAGACATCCGCAAGAATTTGGTCTCGGGATCACTTCTTGTTGAGCATGGATTTAGGCTGGTGTTTGAAGCTAAGAAGTTTATTCTTAGCAAATATGGAAAATTCCTTGGTCGTGGTTATATCGACAAGGGATTGTTCAAAATGAATGTAATGGTTGTAAGCCGTGTAACCGTTGATAATAAAAAGCCTATTTCTATTTATACGTTGAGCGCTCTGATTTATGGCATATTAGATTGGGACATGTAAATCTAAATGCAATTAAACGGTTGATGAAATTAAAATTAATTCTTAATTCTAAAGTTGAGACAAATACCAGATGTGAAATTTGTATTGAAGCAAAAAGTGTTAAGTTACCTTTCCACTCGGTGGAAAGGAGTACTGAACCATTAGGCTTGATCCATACTGATGTATGTGATATGAAAAGTGTGCAAACAAGAACCGGTAAAAAGTATTTTGTAACTTTTATCGATGATTGCACAAGGTTTTGCTACTTATATTTGTTAAGAAGCAAAGATGAGGCTGTGGAAGCATTCAAGATATATAAGACCGAAGTTGAAAATCAACTCGGCAAAAGGATTAAAATAATCCGAAGTGATAGGGGTGGGGAGTATGTGTCTCATTTTGAACAAATATGTTCTGAATATGGCATAATTCATTAAACGACGGCCCCTTATTCTCCACAGTCGAACGGTGTTGCTGAACGCAAGAACCGTACGTTAAAAGAAATGATGAATGCCATGTTGATTAATTCAGGATTACCACAGAACATGTGGGGGGAAGCTGTTTTGACAGCAAATCATATCCTGAATAAAATACCACCTAAAGGGGAAGATGAGACTCCTTACGAAATGTGAAAAAATCGTAAGCCGTCTTATAAATACCTGAACGTGTGGGGGTGTTTGGCTAAGGTTTCAGTACCTGAACCAAAACAAATGAGAATCGGGCCAAAGACGGTCGATTGTGTATTTATTGGATATGCGTACAATAGTACAGCATATAGATTTCTGGTTCATAAATCAGAAAATCCAGAGGTATCTGTTGGTACCACGATTGTGTCAAGGAATGCTATATTCTTTGAGAATGTATTTCCTATGAAGGAAAGGTCAGAATCTAGTTCTAATAAAAGAACGTATGAAACTGCTAGTGGTTCTGTACCAGAGAGTACTAATGAAGAATAGAGACGTAGTAAAAGGGTAAAAACGGCTAAAACGTTTGGACCTGATTTTATTACGTACATGTTGGACAATAAACCGAGTTCCCTTAAGGAAGCTTTGTCCTGCCCAGATGGACCACTCTGGGAAGAAGCTGTAAATAGCGAAATTGAGTCCATTATGCAAAAATCATACTTGGGAGTTGGTTGATCTCTCTGATGGTTGTAAACCTTTAGGATGCAAGTGGATCCTAAAAAAGAAATATAAAGCTGATGGATCGATTGATAAGTTTAAAGCACGTTTGGTGGTCAAAGGCTTTAAACAAAAGGAAGGGTATGATTTCTTTGATACCTATTCACCTGTTACGCGTTTAGCGTCGATAAGAGTGCTTCTCTCGATTGCTGCTTTGCACAATCTTGAGATTCACAAAATGGATGTCAAGACGGCATTTTTGAATGGTGAATTGGAAGAAGAAATATACATGGAACAAACCTGAAGGGTTTGTTGCACCTGGACAAGAGAGAAAGGTGTGTAGATTGATCAAATCCTTGTACGGAATGAAACAAGCTCCGAAACAATGGCATTTGAAATTTGATGACGTGATGTTGACAAATGATTTCAAAATCAACGAATGTGATAAATGTGTTTATGTCAAGAGTACATCAAATACATTTGTGATTGTATGTCTATATGTAGACGATATGTTGATCATGGAGAGTAGCCATGAAGTGATCATGGATACAAAAATAATGTTGAAGAGAAATTTCGACATGAAAGATATGGGCTTGGCTGATGTTATTCTTGGATTAAGGATTGTCAGAACCCAAGATGGAATTATCTTGTCACAATCTCATTTTGTAGAAAAAGTGCTCAAGAAATTTGATACCTATGACGGTGCACAGTCTAGGTGTAAGACACCCCTTGATCTCAGTATAAATCTGGTAGCCAATAAAGGTCAACTAGTGGCTCAGTTAGAATATTCACGGATAATAGGGAGTTTGATGTACTTGACGAATTGTACACGACCAGACTTGGCCTATCCGGTGAATAAATTGAGCAGATTTACGAGCAATCCCAGTCATGAACACTGGAATGCTTTGAGAAGGCTACTTAAGTACTTGAAATACACCCTTGAATACGGGTTAAAATACTCGAGATACCCTACTGTACTTGAAGGGTACTGTGATGCAAGCTGGATATCAGATTCGAGAGATTCTCGCTCCACTAGCGGATATGTTTTCTGTATTGGAGGAGGTGCAGTTTCGTGGAAATCCACAAAACAAACGTGTATAGCTCGGTCAACGATGGAATCGAAGTTCATCGCTTTAGATAAAGCTGGTGAAGAAGCCGAGTGGCTTAGAAATTTTCTATCCGATATTCTAGGTTGGGATAAGACTTTGCCGCCTGTGATGATTCACTGTGATAGCCAAGCTGCTATTGGTAGGCGCAAAGCAACTTGTATAACGGTAAGTCTAGACATATTCGTCGTAGACATAATACCGTACGTCAATTGATCACAAATGGTATTATTTCCATTGACTATGTGAAGTCTAAGAAAAATTGTCTGATCCTTTGACGAAAGGATTGAATAGAGATCAATTGACAGTTTTGCTAGAGGGAATGAGCTTAAAAATCCACAATGTAAAGAATGATCATAGTAGTAACCCTACCATGCTGAGTGGAGATCCCACAAACTTGGTTCAAAGAGAAAACTAAGCTATGAAAATTCAGTCGAGCACTTGGAACATATGAATGTCCAAAGCTATTCGCTAGAGCACACCAAGTGTAAGATTACCTGTTGATTGTGGTAAGGGTAAGTCATTTGGACTTTTAATGAATCCCTAACCTTGTAAATGTGGAGTAATACAGATTACTCTTGATAGGGAGGTCACCTATATAAGTGTGAAGTGTGGGCCGCTTCAAATGTAAACACTTATGAATCCATTGTGTTGTCCATGGCCAAAACGGACACAACGATAGAACGGAATGAAGTTAAGACTCTATTGTGTGAATGTCATTGTCTCGGTGTACACTATGGAGGAATAGTTCAA